GTATGACGGCTGCGTGGTCCCATGGTGTTTATACTTGCGTACTATTGTTTGTACAGATGAACGTGGTACCTTCAGGCATTTGGTAATTGCTCCCAAGGATGAACCAGACTTGTGGAGGTCTACAATGTTTTTTCTGAGGTCTTGGCTGATTTCTTTTGATTTTCCCATGATGTCAAGCAAAGAGGCACTGAGTTTGAAATACATCCACAGGTACACAAACTCAAATGATGTCAATTAGCATATCAGAAGCTTCTAAAGCCATGACATCATTTTTTGAATTTTCCAAGCTGTTTAAAGGCAGTCAACTTAGTATATATAAACGTCTGACTCACTGGAATTGTGATACAGTGAATTATAAGTGAAATAATCTGTCTGTAAGCAATTGTTGGAAAAATTACTTGTGTCATGCACTAAGTAGATGTCCTAACCGACTTGCCAAAACTATAGTTTGTTAACAAGAAATTTGTGGAGTGGTTGAAAAAAAGTTTTAATGACTCCAACCTAAGTGTATGTAAACTTCCGATTTGAACTGTATGCTTAAACATACACTACAATACCAAAAGTATGTGGACACCTGCTCATCGAACATCTCATTCCAAAATCATGGGCATTAATACCGAGTTGGTCCCATCACCCTTTGCTGCTATAACAGCCTCCACTCTTTTGGAAAGGCTTTCCACTAGTCTTCTAACTGTAAATACTAATCTCAACTAGTTTAAAGGCCCAGTGCCATCAATAATGTGATTTTCCTGTGTTCTATATATATTTCTACACTATGAGGTTGGAATAATACTTTGAAATTGTGGAAATTATGAAAATGCCATTTTAGTGTACATTTCAGCCTGTTTTGGTTGGATGGAGTATTGGCCTGCCTGGTGACATCACCAAACCAATAACAGAGAGGTTGAGTACAGACCCACTGAGCAATGGTGTTTGTCTTAATGTGTTTGTTTATTATAGGTCAATATATGATAAAATGTGAGTTGAGTAAGGTTTTATCAGGAGGGAAGCTACAACTTCAGAGTAAACAGATGGGGTAAGAGAAGGAAGGGGAAAGTGCAGTGAAGGCTGTTTCATTTGGGTCAGAGAGATGTCACAGCAGCCTGACCCTGAGGTAAAAGGATGTCAAAAGGTCACCCAGGAAATCAGGCTCTTTTGGCCAGGCTGACCGATTTAAACTGAGCTTGACCTAGTTCAGAAATATGTAGGCTAGACTAACTCAAATGTGCACTTTCAATCATTTGCTCAATCACCTGATGACAAGAAGATGCCTCTGCACTTTAAACAGTCTGCAATCATTGTAGGGAGATGAGGTAAGAGTACTTTCTAAGCTTTGTTGACGGTGGTAAAGGTTAGATACACACACCAACTAGCTCCATTAGCTTAGCTTTTGTCCATCCAGCCTCTACCAGCAGTAGTGAGATGAGCTTTGATGAAAAACAGTCTTGTAGTCTTATTCTGTTGGCCTTTCTTTGAGGGTATTAATGATGTTTTTGTAGAGAAAGATGTCTCTTAACTCTTTCATTTACAGAACATCTAGGGTAAATATAGCTGCCATTTGTCCTTTGAGGTTTTCAGACAGTTGTGGAGTTGCATTTCATTGCCAGTAGCCTGAGTATGAGACCCCTCCTCTAGTCTCAAGGTGTTTTTGTCGGCTGGGTTAACACTTCCACACCTCCCCGTTGACTTGCCAGTCCTCCCCATAACTGCTGCTCTGGCTTTTTCCAAAAGCAGTTATTGGGGAGCTTTAATATGTTCTTTAATATGGAACAGAGGTTGAAAAACGTGGCTATGGCAGAGTCGGAGAGAACTCCAGGTGTGAAGCAATCGCTGATGAGCACCTCATGGAATCTAGAGAAAGGTTAACCTTTTAGGATCATAATTTGCTGTACAATGCTTCTCTAAATGCAGCCCAATGAAAACCAGTCAATTTAAGCTAAACCAAACACACCTAGCCATTCCTAAGGGCTAGTCTTGGGGAGTTTCTGCATAAACATTAGAGGTGGTTTGGAGAAATGAAGACACTAGTCTATTACTCTGTCCAGTTCCCCAGTAGTGTACAGCAGCTGTCCTGTATTTCTCTAGCCAGTCTAGTGCTCTAACCCAGTGTTTCTTAATCCTGGTCCTGGGGACCCAAAGGGGTGCACATTTTAGTTTTTACCTTAGTGCTACACCTGATTCAAATCATCAAAGCTTGATGATGAGTTGATCATTTGAATTAGCTGTGTAGTGCCAAGGCAAAAAACGAAATGTGCACCAGGACCCTCAGCCCTATGTTATGTAGTTGTAACCCAATAAGGTCATTGTTCAGTCTGCACTTCATCAGAGGTACCGGGACTGGGGACTTACTGTCTTTGTTCTGAAGGAAGTGGATGACATGCATTTCCAGAAACCCCCCCCCCCCCCCTGCCTACTGACTGATCACAAACCCCCCTGCCCAAGCCCTCGGTGAGGAAATGTCACCAGCCCAGCGCCCTGAGGCCATGCCACTGAACTGGGGAAGCAGATGGCACAGGCCCAGAGCTATTTTAGGGCTTTCGGGAGCAACTGTCCACTTTGTGACCACTACAATGCCTGGGTGGTATTTATTAGCACTAAATGGAAGAATACAGACTGAAATGGGGACAGAGCACCTGAACGTGTCCAATAAGAAACGGTCATTTTCTTTTTCCGTTGCAAAATGTTTTGCTACGGTGTGCCCTAATGAATACAACCCTGGTTTAGGTAGGACTACCATGGAGCCCAGCTATTTAAGAGGCAAAATGGAGGCATCACATCGCTCTCCTCCCAGTGCAGCTAGAGCTAGGGGGCTGGATATATTCAGGGTTGGCTGTGACCTAACACTCCAGTAATGCTGTGTCAATTGTACATTTGTCAATTGTACTGTACATTGTAAAAAGGTTTGCAAATCCATAATTTAGTACCTGAAGACACATCACATTGTGGTTCCTATTGAGTGTGGCTCATGTCTATGACTGTCTCAAACAAAAGAAAACCACACATTTTATTCTAGAGTGTGAGTCAGGGATGTTATCATACCAAGTTGCTATCTTCCATCTGACATGGTTTACAGTTTCTGAGAAAGAATGGGGCTATATCTATAGAATATTATTTTGACATCCTTTTTGACAACATGCTCACTCAGGCGTCACAATACAGTGATGCTGGCACACACATTACGTTTTCTTCACTCAAGATAGCCAAACCATGCTCTCATTCAGTTAGAAATAGGGTGAAAATCGACTCGGTGGGTGTGTGCGTGCACGCACGCACTCGCTCGTTCACAGGATTGACTATGCAAAGGATTGCCATATAAGCCCCTCTGTTCTCATGCTGGATTATGACTTGTTGAGAACTGAGAGGAAATCCACATCTGCTCTCATCTGTTGATCTGTTGGACGGGGTGGCTGCACTGGCTCCTCCCCCTCTCTTGTTTTCACCCACATCTCACTACTAGTTTCACTGCGGTTTCCAGCCTAGGAGGAGGACTGGGTTATATTAATTAATCACCAAACGGAAGAATACAGACTGAAACCAAAAGGGACTATACCTCAACTTGTCCAATAAGAAACACTAATTTACGCTTTCCGTTGCTAAACAATTTGCTACTTTCTGCCCTAATGTATACGACCCTGGTCTAAACTGTTGTAATGCTTTTATCTGTCTGCTGCGGCTTAGTTTTGAAACTTTTTGACATCTTGTTTGCGCCGTTCCAGCGTACAACACAGCTGCCCAGTCTCTCACAGGTTTCTCTCTATATATAGACATACACACAGTGAACCAAGATGTCTGCCCCTGCCATTACCCTTGCTTTGTAGACATACTGTATAGACTAAGTGCAGATGTTTAGCACTGTGTTGAAACATGTTGCCCTGTTGGAGCCAACACGTTAGTTGCACGTTTTCTGTTGGGTAATGGATGTAGAAATATCTGCCATTTAGAGGCAAGGTTGACTTGCTGGACCATTTTGTTCATTATATGAACTCCTGAACCCCGTTTCTCATTTGTCCATGGCAGCATTTTGCTGCTCTTGTGTTTGCAAACCAGCCAGTTATTTAGCGTTGTTGAAAGGAAGGACTGGGGAATTTAAAGTGTCACTTAAAAATGGATGGTAATTTGACTTTGGCTACAGTGAATCCTAACTCAACGGTTCACTATGAAACAGCCTACACTATGTGTGCTTTTATTGTGGCCTTGACAGGTGCTATTTTGTTGCTTCTCTGTGTCATGGAAATTAACAATGGAAACATATTCAGAAGTAGTGTCATCATGACGCACCTAGGGTACGTCAGTGATCAACTTGAGGATCACTGTCCCAATTTGAGGATCTAACCTAGGCTACTTATTTGACAGTCAGGGTACCACACACACCCACAATAATCTGCAGAATATCCAGAATGACATGTTTTATGTTTCCTTCAGTCCTTTCCTATTTGCTGCTTGAGATGAGCTTGGCCGTGTGTATTCGTGTGTATGAAAGAGAGAGACAGAAGGAGGGAGATGTACTACAGTCTGTACCAGGAAGTCCTTTCACTGGTTGGTGTGGAGGATGTCTGGGCATGTCCACACCACGCTCTTGTCACCAGAGCAGAATGCATACTCTGTCACATTCTTTGCATTGGAGTGTTCATTGTTTGTGTGTGTGAGATACGACACAGGAGAGCGAGATAATTGAATGACTGTTTTCCATAGCCTAGCCTAAATCTTTTTGCTGTTTATCACACACGTTTGCCCTGGTTTGGTTTCTCAATGATACTAGCTTATTTTCTGTGGGTGTCTTTTTACCAGGTTATGTCGACAGTATAACATGTACTTAACATGTAACATTGTATGCAACATATTGTCCCCTCAGAACATTCACATAAGTTATATGTTTCATGTTAGCGTTTCCATGTTTTGTGTTGGTATAGAACGTGATGAGTGTTTGTGTTCTGTATGAGACACTGTTATGTAGGCCGACATACGCAGGTTATAACCTGTAATCTGTTGTTTGTCTACAGGACGCATGGGTCTGAACTTTCACCACCCCGGAGCAGATCACATCATGCCATTGAACAGTGAGTAGCATTTCGAAACATACAATACATTTCCCTTTGCAAATCCCTCTGTATGTTATTATGGATGTGTGTACTTTTGCTTTAAATGTGGCCACTTAAAGTGGTGCCATTGTGTTGCTTCTCTGTTGTATGGAAACTAACAATAGAAACCTATTCAGAAGTAGTGTCGTCATGACGCACCTATGCAGGATGCCTCAGGATATGCCCTAGCTGCTAGGGTTGGGGCGGGGATCACCACAGGGCCCAAGCCCATACCCAGCAGGGCACAGATGCCCAACCACGATAATCCCACCTCGCACCCCTTGCCAAGTGTTACCCCCTGACACCATAAACCCAGCATGGACCTCACTCTCAGTGCAGAGCAGGGAGGAACCGCTGTCAATACCGTCTGTAAAAATAGCCGACCTGTAAGCCTAGACCCCCACCCCCGTTCCCCCTAGCAGATTGCAAACAGCCCACATGGTACGCCCTGTCCGTGTCGTACCATGTGGAAGAGGTCACAGGGTTGGGTCCACACAGGCTCGAGGTGAGGCCGGCAGCAAGGGTTTTTCATTTTTCAGTCTCCAAGAGCGAACTAAAATCCTTATATTTCAGAAATGTCAGAAAATCAATTTTTCTCCCTCTGTCCAGTCAATTTTTTTTTACAGACAGTGAGTTGGCAAAAGGCTCTTTCAGCCTTGTCAACTTCATTGAGAGGAGAGAGGATCGGGGTGTCCATGGTGACTGGTGGAGCTCAGCTCAAGACATCTGGGAGTGTTAGTCGAGCCCTGGGTTATGTTCATTAGGCACCAGCCCTGGGTTATGTTCATTAGGCACCAAATGAGAGAAGACAGACTGAAACAGAGAGGGACTACCTCTAACCCAGTGTGATTTGAATCAGGTGTAGCACTAAGGCAAAAACTAAATGCTCATTTTGTTTTCCATTACAAAACATTTTCGGTTGTGTGGCCTTATGAACACAATCCTGGTTCTCCTAACTTGCCTGGTTGGGGATGCCAGCAGGGAAGCGGTAAGAAAAGAGCGGAGAAGAGGATGAATGGAAAGGAAGAAGATATCCAACAAGGCTTAAAATAACTAATTTTACTGCTGTCACAGCTTGTGCCGTCTGTTTTCTCTTCAACTTGTTCTTTTCATCATCAGTCCTTTGGGAAACACATTTCAAATCGATGTTAAACTGCGGTTCTGGAGGGTTTCACTTAATCTCAGATCTGCATGGAGCTCTGGCATCTGTCAGAATTGGCAATCGCTGCTGTAGTCTGCCATGTCTTTGGACAGCAAGGCTTTGGATGTGAGGAAAGCGGGTTAACGTTAGTCTACTCTCCATTTCTCTCCATTGTTTTGTCTAGACTATATAGAAATCTTTTGGAGACCCATTCTCTCTCTACCCACCGCTTTTGTGGCTTAGCTGAAGGATGAGCTGTAAGACACCCAACATGGATGTATGGATGAAGAAGGGCAGGTCTGTGAATAGTTCAAGGAGCTAGTAGGCGTTTTCCGGTACCGCTCCCCCCCCCAGGAGATCTTCCCCGTCCTCCCTTCAAAGTCTCCTCTCTGACACTCCCATTTTGGACTCCTACTATTCCCTCCCCCTCATCCTCCTCCTCCTCTTATTCTCCCTCACCAGGGTGACTGACACAGACACAGTTTCCCAACACCACTTACTAGTCTACACTAGATCAGTGGGTTCCACCCTTCCACCTTCTTCCCCTTGTTGCTAGGCGCCTTTGTCTCTCCTAAGTCCCAGACAGTGGAAGAGTAATGCGGAGAACATTGGTCTGAACAACTCTGCTCTGTGGTGAGAAGAGACTGAGAGTTTTAATGAAAACCCAGTGAGAGAAGAGGTCTGGATACAATGTCTCTGTCAAGCGCAAGGGAAGGGAAGGGAAGGGGGTCGGGGGGGGAGGGGGTCACACAATGCCACTGGCACAATGGACGCCCCCATATTGGTTTTTAGGAGAAGACTTTGTTCTCTGTGACACTTGACTGTGAGAAGGTCTGTTTAGGCATGTATTACCCCCCGCCACACACACACACACACACACACACACACACACACACACACACACACACACACACACAAACACACACACTGTCTACTGGCATTAATGTTACAGACTCTAATGCCTCTTTCTGCCTTGTTTGCCTCCTGTTGGCCTTCTGTTGGCCTTTTTCTCAGGCACAAGGCTCCTAATCAAATCAAATCAAATTGTATTTGCCACATGCGCCGAATACAACAGGTGTAGACATTACAGTGAAACGCTTACTTTCAAGCCCTTAACCAACAATACATTTTTTGTAAATTTGTTTAGTGTTTAAGTACAAAAAATTAAAGCAAATAACTAAAGAGCAGCAGTAAAATAAAATAACAGTAGGGAGGCTATATACAGGGGGGTACCGGTGCAGAGTCAATGTGCGGGGGCACCGGCTAGTTGAGGTAATATGTACATGTGGGTAGAGTTAATGTGACTATGCATAAATAATAGACAGAGTAGCAGCAGCATAAAAGAGGGGGGTGGGGGTGGGGGGGCAGTGCAAATAGTCCAATGATAAGCTGTTCAGGAGTCTTATGGCTTGGGGGTAGAAGCTGTTGAGAAGCCTTTTGGACCTAGACTTGGCGCTCCGGTACCACTTGCCATGCGGTAGCAGAGAGAACAGTCTATGACTAGGGTGGCTGGAGTCTTTGACAATTTTACACCGCCTGGATGGCAGGAAGCTTGGCCCCAGTGATGTACTGGGCCGTACGCACTACCCTCTGTAGTGCCTTGCGGTCGTAGGCCGAGCAGTTGCCATACCAGGCGGTGATGCAACCAGTCAGGATGCTCTTGATGGTGCAGCTGTAGAACTTTTTGAGGATCTGAGGACCCATGCCAAATCTTTTCAGTCTCCTGAGGGGGAATAGGCTTTGGCATGCCCTCTTCACGACTGTCTTGGTGTGTTTGGACCATGATAGTTTGTTGGTGATGTGGACACCAAGGAACTTGAATCTCTCAACCTGTTCCACTACAGCCCCGTCGATGAGAATGGGGGTGTGCTCAGTCCTCTTTTTTTTCCTGTAGTCCACAATCATCTCCTTTGTCTTGATCACGTTGAGGGAGAGGTTGTTATCCTGGCACCACAAGGCCAGGTCTCGGACCTCCTCCCTATAGGCTGTCTCATCGTTGTCTGTGATCAGGCCTACCACTGTTGTGTTGTCAGCAAACTTAATGATGGTGTTGGAGTCGTGCCTGGCCATGGAGTCATGGGTGAACAGGGAGTACAGGAGGGGACTGAGCACGCACCCCTGAGGGGCCCCCGTGTTGAGGATCAGCGTGGCAGATGTGTTGTTACCTACCCTTACCACCTGGGGGTGGCCCGTCAGGAAGTCCAGGATCCAGTTGCAGAGGGAGGTGTTTAGTCCCAGGATCCTTAGCTTAGTGATGAGCTTTGGGGGCACTATGGTGTTGAACGCTGAGCTGTAGTCAATGAACAGCATTCTCACATAGGTGTTCCTCTTGTCCAGGTGGGAAAGGGCAGTGTGGAGTGCAATAGAGATTGCATCATCTGTGGATCTGTTGGGGCGGTATGCAAATGGGTCTAGGGTTTCTGGGATAATGGTGTTGATGTGAGCCATGACCAGCCTTTCAAAGCACTTCATGGCTACAGACATGAGTGCTACGGGTCGGTAGTCATTTAGGCAGGTTATCTTAGTGTCCTTGGGCACAGGGACTATGGTGGTCTGCTTGAAACATGTAGGTATTACAGACTGGGTCAGGGACATGTTGAAAATGTCAGTGAAGGCACTAGCCAGTTGGTCAGCACATGCTCGGAGTACGCGTCCTGGTAATCCGTCTGGCCCTGCGGCCTTGTGAATGTTGACCTGCTTAAAAGTTGAGCTTGATCACATAGTCATCAGGAACAGCTGGTGCTCTCATGCATGCTTCAGTGTTGCTTGCCTCAAAGCAAGCATAGAAGTGATTTAGCTCGTCTGGTAGGCTTGTGTCACTGGGCAGCTCACGGCTGTGCTTCCTTTTGTAGTCTGTAATAGTTTTCAAGCCCTGCCACATCCGACGAGTGTCAGAGCCGGTGTAGTACGATTCAATCTTAGTCCGGCATTGACTCTTTGCCTGTTTGATGGTTCATCGGAGGGCATAGTGGGATTTATTTTAAGCGTGTTAGGTGCATTTAAAGAAGGTTACGAAATTTCACATGTGAAAACACATACACCAAACAATACATTTGTTTTGGTCTTTCGTGTTAGTCCTTTGCTACTGTATTTCCTAAACTCTAGCTAATACTCCAAAGGTTAATTGTGAGAGCTCACATGTATCTAATGAAAGGGAAAGAAAGGGCACAGCGTCTTATTGCTGCCTGCTGTACCTTGGGCCTGTTCACTAGATTACGATCCCACATAGTAGGGCAGTCCTCCTCTCTCTCTTTTCCTGTCTGGACCCTGAGACTCAGGCTGTCACCTCCATGGCTCCATCCAGGGCAGCTGTGAGTGGAAATTTCCCACTAGATAAAGACTAATGTTTCACTAGTTAATGGTAATGACTAACGACACCTGTCTAATGTCTCCGCGTGTCGCTTTATCGGCCACATTCATGAATATTCACGCTGGGAAGAAATTAGAGTAAAACGTGAGCTAGGTAGTAGTCTGTGTTTATTGCCTGAGATTATATCCTGGGTTATAGGGTCTTGTTATTGCAAGTTACTATTTCAGAGCAGTTAGGCCTATTATAACCTCGCCCATCCTCCTCTAGTCTAGTCTAGCCCGGCTAGGGTAGGTGCAGCAGGTTTCTTGTGGGATACTGCCAGCCAACCCATAATGACTCCTTGTCTCCCACCATCGCTGATGATTAGGTGTGGCTGTCTGCGTCTGTGGTGTCACTGTTGCCTTGATGATGTTCTGCCTGGTTGTCTTCCCATGAAACCCATATCTCTGTCTCTCTCCTTTCCATACCCCTCTGTCTCTCTCTCCCTCTCTCTTCCACTGTTCACAAGCAGCCAGGAGCTATGGCCGCAGAAGAGGTAACGTGTGGAGTTCTACTCTGTTTCTGCTTGCCAAAATGAACGGGAGGCACGAGCACAATTGCTTGGCTCTCTCCGTACGGTTGTCTCTCTCCAGAGCAACTGGGTTCTAATGTGATGTCACATAATCTGCCTTCATCTGTGCCGTGATTGGATGAAATCATATTAATTTATACACCTTTTTTTGTTTTGACGTCATTGCATTTAGTTAAGTCGAGGAGAGGCGGATCATTTTGTATCTTGAACCTTTTTCATTTTGCTTAATGCAACTTTATTTTCTCTTTAATATTCTGAGTCATTGTGCTACTCCTGTATATCGCTATATGCAACTGTATTGGCTACTGCTTGTGGATTATTAATGAATTCACAAGTATAGACCCTCCATATATTATGGACAGATCCAGAGCAAGTCCATTTGGAGCTGTGCCAAAATGTTTAGGTCTAGTCATAAAAACATTTGAGAAAGTACACTGACTCAAACTATTTATGTCCTGAATGGCTAAGATGGGTGCTGCGGACATGCTCTTCTCTGATTTGGAGTGTTCAACTAATTAATACCTTTACTCAGTGAGGAACCCTGGTAACATATGCAACGTTGTTGCAATGCTTGTATTTTTTGTATCTAAGAATTGGAGGACTTTTAAGTTGGCAGTACATTCGTCCACATGTAGACAGAGCTTATGACTCAGCGATAAAGGGGAGTCCTCCTCTATCTCCCCATACCACTATTGTGCAGTTACATAGTCTCTTTCTATAGCCTTGTACCTGTTAGCATAGTAAATAAAACTATATTTAAAGTAGCCTATGCCTATCAGAGGCTTCTGACATGGCCTACCTCCAGATCTTAGATACATGCAACACCATTCAGTCAGTACCATAGAATTAGGAATTAGAACAGAAAAAAATAGTAATGTAATACAATCTATATGGTCAGTACACAGTCCTCTATGTGCTTTCACCTGTAAGAGGTAATCTACTGCTGTGGCAAATGGTCCGCTACCTTCCCCTCCATCCCTCCTCCACCCTCCACCCCTTGTTCCTATGGCCCGCAGGAACAAGGGTCTATCTGGTGTAGGAAGGCTATGAAGGACCTGTATTGGTTTGTGATTGGACTGAACTGAATGGGTTTGAGGGTGGAGGAGGGCAGGCAGGCAGGCCCACAATGTTTGAAGAATGGGAGCTCATGAAGCAGCATGATGGTGATTTGAGCTTCCTCTCTAAGGAGACTGCTATTGTTACCAGTTTTAATAACACCATGTTTCTCTCTCTTTTTTTCATATCTTCCCTGTCTTCTCTTATGTTCTGTGCCCTTCTATTTTCCCTCTTTCTTCTGCCTGTTACTCTTGCTTGTCCTCTCTCTCTCTCTTTTTCCAGGTCGCTCTTCACTCTTTCCCTTTGAGGACGGTTTCCTGGACGACGGGCACGGTGACCCCTCTCTGACCCCGGGGTTGAACTCGCCCACACGCTGTCAAAATGGAGAGAGGATGGAGCGCTACTCCAGGAAGGTGTTTGTCGGAGGTCTGCCCCCTGACATAGATGAAGGTACGGACGGATGGTAGTGGAACTAGCCTGTGTCCCAGATCTGTTTGGGTTGTCTTGCCAGCCCCTATTGTGAGTGTTTGGCATGGCAATGACCATGGAAGTTGGCAAGACCGCACAAACAGATCTTGGACCAGGCTACCACCTTACTATACAATCACTATATATCCTCATAGAATGTCCATCAACTGCATGGCACATTAATCAGATTAGTAAGTTTAGTGGGTTTGCATTGGCTAGGATAGTACAAGCCAGATGTGGGTCTATAGTGGGCTAAACGGCTGGTTCTGTGTCTGTATGATGCCTCTATCTGTCATGAAGCTGGTTCTCTGGGACTGTGAACTGACTGGTTATGCTTTGTGGGTTTGTGGCAGTGAGCTGGCAGTCAGTCTGGCAGCAGATGTGATAGTGTGTTATCCCACAAAGTGTGAAGAGGGCCTGAGGGCATAGTAAGACTATGGGAATCTGGAATGGTGACACTGCTCAATGTGGCTTTCATGAGACGCACGCACTCACACACGCAAGCAAACACACACAGAACACAAAACTTGCACAAAACACACACACACACACACTAGTATACATACACACACACATATACAGTGGGGGAAAAAAGTATTTAGTCAGCCACCAATTGTGCAAGTTCTCCCACTTAAAAAGATGAGAGAGGCCTGTAATTTTCATCATAGGTACACGTCAACTATGACAGACAAAATGAGATTTTTTTTCTCCATAGAATCACATTGTAGGATTTTTAATGAATTTATTTGCAAATTATGGTGGAAAATAAGTATTTGGTCACCTACAAACAAGCAAGATTTCTGGCTCTCACAGACCTGTAACTTCTTCTTTAAGAGGCTCCTCTGTCCTCCAGTCGTTACCTGTATTAATGGCACCTGTTTGAACTTGTTATCAGTATAAAAGACACCTGTCCACAACCTCAAACAGTCACACTCCAAACTCCACTATGGCCAAGTCCAAAGAGCTGTCAAAGGACACCAGAAACATAATTGTAGACCTGCACCAGGCTGGGAAGACTGAATCTGCAATAGGTAAGCAGCTTGGTTTGAAGAAATCAACTGTGAGAGCAATTATTAGGAAATGGAAGACATACAAGACCACTGATAATCTCCCTCGATCTGGGGCTCCACACAAGATCTCACCCCGTGGGGTCAAAATGATCACAAGAACGGTGAGCAAAAATCCCAGAACCACACGGGGGGACCTAGTGAATGACCTGCAGAGAGCTGGGACCAAAGTAACAAAGCCTACCATCAGTAACACACTACGCCGCCAGGGACTCAAATCCTGCAGTGCCAGACGTGTCCCCCTGCTTAAGCCAGTACATGTCCAGGCCCGTCTGAAGTTTGCTAGAGTGCATTTGGATGATCCAGAAGAGGATTGGGAGAATGTCATATGGTCAGATGAAACCAAAATAGAACTTTTTGGTAAAAACTCAACTCGTCGTGTTTGGAGGACAAAGAATGCTGAGTTGCATCCAAATAACACCATACCTACTGTGAAGCATGGGGGTGGAAACATCATGCTTTGGGGCTGTTTTTCTGCAAAGGGACCAGGACGACTGATCCGTGTAAAGGAAAGAATTAACGGGGCCATGTATCGTGAGATTTTGAGTGAAAACCTCCTTCCATCAGCAAGGGCATTGAAGATGAAACGTGGCTGGGTCTTTCAGCATGACAATGATCCCAAACACACCGCCCGGGCAACGAAGGAGTGGCTTCGTAAGAAGCATTTCAAGGTCCTGGAGTGGCCTAGCCAGTGTTGCCCAGCGACAGCCCCAAAACATCACTGCTCTAGAGGAGATCTGCATGGAGGAATGGGCCAAAATACCAGCAACAGTGTGTGAAAACCTTGTGAAGACTTACAGAAAACGTTTGACCTGTGTCATTGCCAACAAAGGGTATATAACAAAGTATTGAGAAACTTTTGTTATTGACCAAATAGTTATTTTCCACCATAATTTGCAAATAAATTCATTAAAAGTCCTACAATGTGATTTTCTGGATTATTTTTCTCATTTTGTCTGTCTCATCTTTTTAAGTGGGAGAACTTGCACAATTGGTGGCTGACTAAATACTTTTTTTCCCCACTGTGTATATATACTGTACATTTAGACACATATTAGTATATACACTGGTACACACACACACACAAGACACACACACACAACACAGAGTTTGTGAACAATGCGTGCCCATGGCCTCTTGGAATATTAATGAGTTTCCACAGTACAATTACCCTAGTGAGAACAGAAACTGTCTGGCCTGGAGTGTGAAGACGTGTTTAGTGTTTAATGCAGTAGACTGGACAGCATTTGGAGAACAAGCAAAAATACTAATATATTGTTGATGGCATACAGTGAGGGTAGACAGTAGACACTTTTTTTGGTGGCCTGCTTGACATGCAATTGTGCATCATAGTTTCCATGGCAAATTGCTCCATGACCATGGTAACATATATATATATATATATATATATATATATATATATATATATATATATATATATATATATATATATATATATATTATTTATATATATATAATATATTTATTTTCTTCTTTTTTTTGTAGATGAGATCACCAACAGCTTCCGTCGCTATGGACACCTGGTGGTGGATTGGCCCCACAAAGCCGAGAGCAAGTCCTACTTTCCACCTAAAGGTAAGAACAGTTTCTTCTCACCAGTCTGTAAAATAACAGACCTCAGTCCATAGTTACAGGTGTTATTGTTCAGTCACTGTCTCAGGGAGATCACGCTGCGCTGCTAAGGCAAAGGTTGTTTGTGAAGGGTTACGTTACCCAGAATTCCAGGGTCACCTTGTTCCTCGCATTAAGGCGTCTCGAGGCATCTGTTTATTTATATGGCCCCCTAATGCTATCTCAGGGATAGAAACACACAGCCCCACTCTGGTCTCGCACCACAGGCTCCTGAAGGGCCCAGAGCACTTAGTGTTTTTCTGTTAATACATAGAGAGTGCAAAGGCTTTCTCCTGGCCCCTGGCCCCCGGCCCTCTTGGGTTTCATTTGCACAGGTGACCATAGCGGAGAAGGTCCTTCCTTTCAGGCCACTATGCCTGTATCACATCACTCCGCTGGCCCTCCACACAGACACACACACACACACACACACAATTCTCTGTGTCATATTAGGGAAACTATTAAAGCCGAAATAGCTGACATTCCTCAGGCAGATGGTAATATGCTGCAGCTGTGAAAACTACCAATTTCTTCCCTCTCTCATTTTCGATTTCCCTGTTTTTTGGGGTGATAGACTTTATTTTCAAAGTTCAGGAGGGAAAAATGCAGCATCCTTTTAGGGGAATGAGTTAGGCTTAAGGGCCGGAGGATTCCTTGTAAGGAAGGGAGGGAGGGAAGACTTGGTTAGCCACAAGGAAACCACCACCTCTTGTTGTAATCGCCCACTTGTGTTGATGTTGTAATGTAGCATTGGGCCACTTGGTATTTTAATAGAGGCCCTTCTCCCTTTGGAAACATGGATGCCATGTGAGAACGGCTGAAAACCCTTGTCTTCCTAATTATGCAGTTTGAACTCTGCACGTTATAGTGATTGAAAGAGTTAATGGCGAAGTGCTTAGCAAGAGATTTGTGAGTGTGAGTGTGTCTGTGAGTGTTCTTCTTTGCGTGTGTGTGTGCGCGTGTGTGTATACTATCCTTTCATGCGCTGTAACGGGTGCTTCGCAGATGTGGGATTCCCATCCAGTGGTCATCAATCTCTCCCCATATTAAAAGTGGTTCCAAGCTGACCTAATGGAAGATGGTAGTCACTTCGTTCCATCCTGTGCCACATTAAAATGAACAGTTATGTGTCTCTGTACAATTATGAAACTCTGTTTTTGGTTTGGGAGATGAGGATGACTCATGTTGTGGCTCCCAGGCCTCGCAGAGGGCAGGGCACGGTCCATCTGCGGTCTGAACTGGGATCAGTTGTAAGCCTGGGGCCAGATAGGTAGTTATCCCTGATGGACAGGCCTAAGGTCCGTTCACGGGCCACTGCTCTGTTCCTATACTTCCTAGTACATGTGTCAAATCAAATCAAATCAAATCAAATCAAATTTTATTGGTCACATGCGCCGAATACAACAGGTGCAGACATTACAGTGAAATGCTTACTTACAGCCCTTAACCAACAGTGCATTTATTTTAAACAAAAAAGTAAGAATAAAACAACAACAAAAAAAGTGTTGAGAAAAAAAGAGCAGAAGTAAAAAATAAAGTGACAGTAGGGAGGCTATATATACAATAGAATAAAGTGACAGTAGGGAGGCTATATATACAGGGGGGTACCGTTGCATAGTCAATGTGCGGGGGCACCGGCTAGTTGAGGTAGTTGAGGTAATATGTACATGTGGGTAGAGTTAAAGTGACTATGCATAAATACTTAACAGAGTAGCAGCAGCGTAAAAAGGATGGGGTGGGGGGGCAGTGCAAATAGTCCGGGTAGCCATGATTAGCTGTTCAGGAGTCTTATGGCTTGGGGGTAGAAGCTGTTGAGAAGTCTTTTGGACCTAGACTTGGCACTCCGGTACCGCTTGCCGTGCGGTAGCAGAGAGAACAGTCTATGACTAGGGTGACTGGAGTCTTTGACAATTTTGAGGGCCTTCCTCTGACACCGCCTGGTATAGAGGTCCTGGATGGCAGGGAGCTTTGCCCCAGTGATGTACTGGGCCGTACGCACTACCCTCTGTAGTGCCTTGCGGTCAGAGGCCAAGCAGTTGCCATACCAGGCGGTGATGCAACCAGTCAGGATGCTCTCGATGGTGCAGCTGTAGAATTTTTTGAGGATCTGAGGACCCATGCCAAATCTTTTTAGTCTCCTGAGGGGGAATAGGCTTTGTCGTGCCCTCTTCACGACTGTCTTGGTGTGTTTGGACCATGATAGTTCGTTGGTGATGTGGACACCAAGGAACTTGAAGCTCTCAACCTGTTCCACTACAGCCCCGTCGATGAGAATGGGGGCGTGCTCAGTCCTCTTTTTTTTCCTGTAGTCCACAATCATCTCCTTTGTCTTGGTCACGTTGAGGGAGAGGTTGTTGTCCTGGCACCACACGGCCAGATCTCTGACCTCCTCCCTATAGGCTGTCTCATCGTTGTCGGTGATCAGGCCTACCACTGTTGTGTCGTCGGCAAACTTAATGATGGTGTTGGAGTCGTGCCTGGCCATGCAGTCATGGGTGAACAGAGAGTACAGGAGGGGACTGAGCACGCACCCCTGAGGGGCCCCCGTGTTGAGGATCAGTGTGGCAGATGTGTTGTTACCTACCCTTACCACCTGGGGGCGGCCCGTCAGGAAGTCCAGGATCCAGTTGCAGAGGGAGGTGTTTATTCCCAGGATCCTTAGCTTAGTGATGAGCTTTGAGGGCACTATGGTGTTGAATGCTGAGCTGTAGTCAATGAATAGCATTCTCACGTAGGTGTTCCTCTTGTCCAGGTGGGAAAGGGCAGTGTGGAGTGCGATAGAGATTGCATCATCTGTGGATCTGTTGGGGCGGTATGCAAATTGGAGTGGGTCTAGGGTTTCTGGGATTATGCTGTTGATGTGAGCCATGACCAGTCTTTCAAAGCACTTCATGGCTACAGACGTCAGTGCCACGGGTCGGTAGTCATTTAGGCAGGTTATCTTAGCGTTCTTGGGCACGGGGACTATGGTGGTCTGCTTGAAACATGTTGGTATTACAGACTCAGTCAGGGACATGTTGAAAATGTCAGTGAAGACACTTGCCAGTTGGTCAGCACATGCTCGGAGTACACGTCCTGGTAATCCGTCTGGCCCTGCGGCCTTGTGAATGTTGACCTGCTTAAAAGTCTTACTCACATCGGCTACGGAGAGCGTGATCACATAGTCGTCCGGAACAGCTGGTGCTCTCATGCATGCTTCAGTGTTGCTTGCCTCGAAGCGAGCATAGAAGTGGTTTAGCTCGTCTGGTAGGCTTGTGTCACTGGGCAGCTCGCGGCTGTGCTTCCCTTTGTAGTCTGTAATAGTTTTCAAGCCCTGCCACATCCGACGAGCGTCAGAGCCAGTGTAGTATGATTCAATCTTAGACCTGTATTGACTCTTTGCCTGTTTGATGGTTCGTCGGAGGTCATAGCGGGATTTCTTATAAGCGTCCGGGTTAGAGTCCCGTTCCTTGAAAGCGGCAGCTCTACCCTTTAGCTCAGTGCGGATGTTTCCTGTAATCCATGGCTTCTGGTTGGGGTATGTACGTACGGTCACTGTGGGGACGACATCATCGATGCACTTATTGATGAAGCCAGTGACTGATGTGGTGTACTCCTCAATGCTGTCTGAAGAATCCCGGAACATGTTCCAGTCTGTGCTAGCAAAACAGTCCTGTAGCTTAGCATCTGCGTCATCTGACCACTTTTTTATTAGCCGAATCACTGGTGCTTCCTGCTTCAGTTTTTGCTTATAAGCAGGAATCAGGAGGATAGAGTTATGGTCAGATTTGCCAAATGGAGGGCGAGGGAGAGCTTTGTATGCGTCTCTGTGTGTGGAGTAAAGGTGGTCTAGAGTTTTTTCCCCTCTGGTTGCACATTTAACATGCTGGTAGAAATGAGGTAGAACGGATTTAAGTTTCCCTGCATTAAAGTCCCCTGCTACTAGGAGCGCTGCATCTGGATGAGCGTTTTCCTGTTGATTAATGGCCTTGTACAACTCATTCAGTGCAATCTTAATGCCAGCATTGGTTTGTGGTGGTAAATAGACAGCTATGAAAAGTATAGATGAAAACTCTCTTGGTAAATAGTGTGGTCTACAGCTTATCATAAGATACTCTACCTCAGGCGAGCAAAACCTTGAGACTTCCTTAGTATTTGATTTTGTGCACCAGCTGTTGTTTACAAAAATACAGAGACCGCCACCCCTCGTCTTACCCGAGTCTGCCGTTCTGTCCTGCCGATGTAGCGTATAGCCTGCTAGCTGAATGTTGTCATTGTTGTCATTCAGCCACGACTCCGTGAAACATAAGATATTACAGTTGTTAATGTCCCGTTGGTAGGATAACCGTAATCTTAAATCGTCCATTTTATTCTCCAAAGCTTGAACGTTGGCTAATAGGATTGATGGGAGAGGCAGTTTACTCGTTCGCCGTCGGATCCTTACAAGGCACCCCGACCTACGTCCACGAAATCTCCGTCTCTTCCTCACGCGAATGACGGGGATCTGGGCCTTGTCGGGTGTCTGTAGGATATCCTTCGCGAACGCCTCGTTGAAGAAAAAGTGTTCGTCCAACGCGAGGTGAGTAATCGCTGTCCTGATATCCAGAAGCTCTCTTTGGTTATAAGAGACGATGGCATAAACATTATGTACAAAATAAATTACAAATAACGCGGAAAAACACACATAATAGTACAATTGGTTAGAGGGCTGTAAAACGGCAGCCATCTTCTTCCGGCGCTGTTCAGTGTCCCATGTCGGGCTTAGTCCATTCTCTCAGCCTGCCTGTGTCTGTCTGTCGGCCGGATGATGTCACTGAACGATGTTGCCACGGTGGTGCTGCTCACACCTGCTCATTGAGCCCTGCAGTCCCAGGCGTCACCGTTGGCGACGAGCTCCAAACACTGCTGAAGCTATTTCTGTCTGCTCCGCACGGAGGTAGAGATGAGTGAGGAAGGAAAGGAGGGGGGTCCTTTGGGGTTTAGA